CCCTCCCTCCCTCCCTCCCTCCTTCCCCCCCCCACACACACACTCACTCACTCACAGGTCTGCTCCTCCATACTGCAGGGGTCACAGGTGTGTGTAGCCACCCCTGGCTTTTTATATGGGAGCCAGCTTCAGGCACTCAGGTCCCTGTGTTGGCAGAGTATGTAAGCATTCTTTCCTGATGAACCGTCTCCTCTGGCCCTCAGACACATTTTCAGGGTCACCTTTATTTAGACATGGATTGTGCTTTGTGGTTTTATTGTTGTCTATTTGTGGTGGTTTTGTTTTTTCTTGTTTTTGTTTGCTTGTTTGTTGTTGAGACAGGATCACATTACATAGCTCTGGCTGTCCTGGAACTCACTATGTAAACCAGGCTGTCCTGGAACTCCCAGAGTGACTAATTCCAACAGGAGTGTTGGAATTAAAAACGTGCACCACCACATCTTAAATTGTGTTTGTGGGTTTTGTGTTTGAAACTTTGATGGACATGAGGAAAAGGGAACTTGAAAAACAATCATTACAATACCTTTAGATCCACTCACAAACAACACTGCTACCTAAGATTAACTTTGTTATTTTATTATTTACTTCTAGATGAGCTTGGGCATGTTCAGGGTGGTATGGCTATAGACTTATTTATTTTAAAGATTTATTTATTTATTTTATGTATACGAGTACACTGTAGCTGTCTTCAGAAACATCAGAAGAGGGCATCAGATCCCATTACAGATGGTTGTGAGCCACCATGTGGTTGCTGGGAATTGAACTCAGGACCTCTGGAAGAGCACTCAGTGCTCTTAACCTCTGAGCCATCTCTCCAACCCTGACTTATTTAATTATGTGTTTAGGTGTGTCCATGCACATGAGTGTAGTGCCTGCAGATGCCAGAAGAGGGCGATGGATCCTTTGGAAGCAATGTTTTTGGCAACTGAGTTGTAGGATGTAGAATCTGGACTCAAATTCCCATCCTTTGGAGTAGTGTCTGCTTTTAACTGCTGAGCCACCTCCACAGCCCCACGATAATTCCTTTTAAAGTTGTGTTGGAAAGGGAGAAGGTGGAAGGCTATAAAACCTACAAAACTCTTATCAAGCCTGGCTACTTTGGACAAGATTAGGTGCCTTAAATTAGCCAAAGGAATAGTGTCCAGATGTGAAAAATACATTCTCTTTAGGTGACCAGGTTAAATCTTTTTAGATTTTGTGTTTTAAGACAGAGTCTTGCTATGAGGTCCCAGCTGGTCTCAAACTCAGGATCTTCCTGCCCCAGCCTAGGATGAAACTTTGAAGTGCCAGGTAAATTTCCTATTTCTCCACACACATCAGCTTACTAGAAAGTCTTTTACATTGGGATACTGTCAGTTTCTTCGCACTTTAATAGGTGAGTTCAGAATAAACGTAGTCAGCTTTTCTATCCACACCGCCTTCTGAAATTGAAGAGGGAAAATAACTTAGTAAGCCTCAGCTATGAGTTTAGAGAAACTCTAAAAAGAATCCCCATTTGGGGTTGGAGAGATGGCTCAGTGGTTAAGAGCACTGACTGTTCTTCCAGAGGTCCTGAGTTCAATTCCCAGCAACCACATGGTGGCTCACAACTAATCTCTAATGGGATCCAATACCCTCTTCTGGTGTGCCTGAAGACTGTGACAGTGTACTCATACACAAAATAAATCTTAAAAAAAAAAAACAAAAACAAAAACAGAATCCCCATTTGAGGTGTGTTGTCTTAGGGGCCAACAATGCTGGTCACCAAGCTTGATGACCTTGGTTCTATGCCAGGGTCTTACATGGTGGAAGGAGAAAGAAGCTGACTCCCCCGACTTGTCCTCTAACCTCCGTGCTCATACCATGGCATATGTCGGCCCATGCACATACATACACAATAAGTAAGTATAATAGATTGGTTTTATTTAAAAGCCCTATTTCTAGATGGACAACCTGAAAGAAGCAAATATTAACTAGTCTTTTCCAGTTTAATAACAATTTATTCTGTGTGTATGTGTGTGTATGTGTGTGTGTGCATGTGTGTGTATTTGTGTGTGTGTCTGTGTGTGTGTGATGCATATGGGGATCATGAAGGCCATAGGAGGCCATTACATTTCCTGCCCTATCACTTCCTGTCTTATTCTTCTGAGATGAGGTCTTTCACTAAACCTGAACCTATGCTGGTTGTCAGTGAGCCCCAGAAATCCCCACATCTCACCATCTCACAGCCCCAAGCATAGCCACGCCCAGCTTTTTACCCGAGAGCTCAGGATCCAAACTCAAGTCCTCCTGCAAGGGAGGCAGCAAGTGCTCCTAGCCCCAGAGCCATCTCCCCACCACTTGAAAATGTTTTAGTAATGAGCCTGCATCCTCTATTGTGGAATTTTTTTTTTTTTTGGTGATAGTGTTTTGTTGTTGTTGAGATTTTGTTTATCTGTTTGTTTATGTTTTCAAGACAGGGTTTCCGAGTAGCCCTGGCTGTCCTGGAACTAACTCTGTAGACTAGGCTAACCTCAAACTCACATAGATCCACCTGCCTCTGACTCCCAGAGTGTTGGGATTAAAGGTGTACGCCACCACCATCTTTCTGAATTCGAGGCCAGTCTGGCCTACCAGAGCTACACATAGAAAACTCTGCCTTGAAAAACCCAGAAGAAGAAAAAGAAGAAGAAAAAAAAAAAAAAAAAAAGCTGGGCGGTGGTGGCACATGCCTTTAATCCCAGCACTTGGGAGGCAGAGGCAGGCGAATTTCTGAGTTCGAGAGTTCGAGGCTAGCCTGGTCTACAGAATGAGTTCCAGGACAGCCAGGGCTACACAGAGAAACCCTGTCTCGAAAAAACCAAAAAAAAAAAAAAAAAAAAAAACCCAGAAGAAAAAAAGAGATTTTATTTTAATTTTAACTAATGTGTGTGTGGTGCAGGTTTGTACATGTGAGCACAGGTACTCATGGAGACCAGAGGCACAGATGCCTCTGGTGCTGAAGTTGCTAGTGGTCATAGCCACCAGGCATGAGTGCTGGGATGTGAACTCGAGTCCACAGTACTCACTCAGAAATGTGAAACCATTTCTCCAGCCTGCCTTGGAAGTATTTAGAGGATAGTCCCGACCCTGTTTTCCCCTCCACCCACTTCTACATCTGTCAGATTAGTGGGGGCTATGATTGGTTACCGTTGACTTGCTAGGAGCCTGGAGTTCACAAACTCCATCCTTAGATACAAAGCCCCTGCTCACAGTGATGTCTCAGGGACTCTTGTGTCATTGCAGCATTGTCTCTTGTCCCATCTCGACTCACCTTGTTCCGTGGGTGCTGCCTCCTTGAAGACTGGAGTGGCATAGTGTATCTCCTGGGGTTGTTCTGCCCCTGGGCAAAAGACAGTGCATACGTGTTATTGGGCCAGGTCTTGGGTCCTCTGACCATGGGAGGGTGGTGGCCTGGGGCCTAGACTGAGCACTTTCCCTTTGGGGGTTAAGTGACTAAATATTCAACAGTTTGGTGACTCTAGCTAATCACAAAATACTGCAACCTTGCAAAGCGCTAAGGGAGCCGTTTTATGTACCCGTTTTCTCTAGCATGGCTTGAGAAACTTGGCTGGCATGGGTGGAGCCCTGGGCTTGTTCTCAAGCATTGGAAAAAACAAACCAACAAACAAGAATGAGATGTGCTCGATTCTGCAGCATGCAGACTATGATAGAAAGACAAAGAAGATTTTCATGGCCTCAGTGCAAAGTTGACGCACAAATTTAAGTCAGGTTGGTAATTAAGTCACATGGGAGGATTGTTAGGAGTTCGAGGTCATCCTGGGCTACACACAGTGAGTATAAAGCTAGCCTAGGCTAGATGCTAATATAGTTTTCATTTGTTGTCAAAATAGATATTTTTAAAGAGTAGTTTGTTGGATGTAGTACCATAGGCCTGTGATCTCAGCACTCGAGAGGCTGAAGCAGGAGGACTGCAAGTTTGAAGCCAGTCTGGGCTACATAGCATGACTCTGTCTGAAAAGAAAACAAATGAACATCATAAACTTCTTCAAAAGACAATCACCAGAGACTTTGGGATAGAGCATGGATCATCCCAAACTGAAATAAAGTCATCTCTAAAACATGTTACATGAAAAGTTTCCCTTTTTCTCTGGAGAATTTTATTTTATTATTTTATATAACCAGAGCTGTGTAGAGTACTTGTCTAGCATGTGTGGACACCTTGAGGTCAAGTCCCAGCATCTCAACATATATACACATGTATACATACATATATGTATACAGTTACCCCCAAACCAACCAACCAACCAAACTGGTCAAAACAGTCAACAAAGCCCTTTACCTGTTGGAGTTTCGCAGATGTTTTCATACAGCTCACCTCGCCTGGGCCCATCTCCAGAACCCTTAGACTCATTCTCTCTCAGAGTCTTTCCTGCTCCCCACCCCCCAAAAAAACAAGATATATAATCATCATGTTGAACCAATTTAGATATGTCTTTCCTGTCTTCTCTGCTAAGGGGAAGACTCTCTCATGATTCTAAGTGACATGCCAGGGGCTTCAACTAATGAGGGGAAAAAACCTCAGGTTTCTATATAGCGCTAACTCCTCTGGTCCAGGGTCCTCCTGACCAGGCCCTGGGGGGCCTTAGCCTATGTATCACAGTGGAAATGGACACGTGTTCTTTTTTTGTTGTTGTTGTTTTGTTTTGTTTTTTTCAAGACAGGGTTTCTCCGTATAGCCCTGGCTGTCCTGGAACTCACTCTGTAGACCAGGCTAGCGTCAAACTCAGAAATCCGCCTCCCTCTGCCTCCCAAGTGCTGGGATTAAAGGCATGCGCCACCACCGCCCGGCTCACGTTTTCTTTCCTTCTTGAAAGGAACAGTTGGTAGAGAGCCTTAATCTTCAAGAGATGAGTAATACAACTAAGTTCTATATCAGCAGGAATCAAAAATCAGTTTTTGTTTGGTTGGTTGGTTCCATTTTTCTGAGACAGGGTTTCTCTGTGTAGCCCTGGCAGTCCTGAAACTCACTCAGTAGACAAGGCTGGCCTTGAACTCTTAGAGATCCGCCTGCCTCTGCCTCCCAAGTGCCGGAATTAATAGCATGTTCCACCTCCGCCCAGCTGACATCAAACATCTTAATGCCACTTTAACAAAACCCCTGGGTGAGTTCACTGTTGAGATGTTTAAGAAACTGGGTTAAGTAGGGCATCTGAGCCGGGCGGTGGTGGCGCACGCCTTTAATCCCAGCACTTGGGAGGCAGAGGCAGGCGGATTTCTGAGTTCGAGGCCAGCCTGGTCTATAGAGTGAGTTCCAGGACAGCCAGGGCTGTATAGAGAAACCCTGTCTTGAAAAACAAAAAACAAAACAAAACAAAAAGTAGGGCGTCTGTTTTTAAGAGGTTTTAGGGTATGAGTTTGTCCTGGACTGGGTCTTGTGCAAGCTAAGCGAGCTGTAGCACTGCTCTTCACTGGCCATTCCCAGCTGCTTTTCAACGGTATCAGCTGCCCTCTGTGACCTTTGTCCTTGTAGAGATGGAGGGACCACAGGGGCTGACATCTGTGAACGAGTCTCACTAATTCAGACAGTATCTCCACAGCCCTATTCCATAGACCAGAGGGTAGAGGACCAGAGAAGCAAAGGCACCAAGTACCCAACAGCCCTCGGCTTGGCACCTTGTGTGCTTGAGACACAAATGCTATTTTGTGCCACACATGTGTGTCTGGTGAAGTGGCCACTTTGAAATCTTTACCAGAGAACTGCTTAGAGGTGATCAGGGAAAGCTTTCTACCCAGACAGTGAAAAGGGTTTGTTGTTGCTATTGTAGGTCAAGTGGGAAGACAGAGACAGGCTCCCATCCGACTTCACACACCAAGCTCTGACGGGAGCTGAGAAGCGGAAGGCTCTGCCCTTTGAGGGCCTTCTGCTTTGGACCAACTACATGCAATGCAGTGAACGTCAGAAGCCTCTTGTTATAAACAGTATTATGCATGCATACACACACACACACACACACACACACACCCCACAGGTGCAGAGCAGCACTGTTTACAGTGGTCTGAGGACCGGGGTGGGGCAATGACTTGAGGTTTTCAGCAGATCACATGGTTCCCCAGCCTAAAAAAGAAAGATATTCTGATATGCAAAGGAAACCAAACATCAAAGGACACCTGGGGGTGTGGCACAGCTGCTTGCCTAGCAAGCAGGGGGCCCTGAGTTCATTCTGCAGGCCTGTAATCCAACCACTCAGGAGGACCAGAAGTTCAAGGTTATTCTAACTACATGGTGAATGGGAGGCCAGCCTGGGCTACTGGAGACACTGTCACAAAACAAAATAAGACAGACAATTGTGTGGTTTCACTCAAATGAAATCCTAGAATAGTTCTGTCTGTAGAGACAGAAAACAGAATGTAGCTACAAACCAAAGGAACAGAATGAGGAACTGATCTCCTGGACCTTGGGTTTTAGCCCGGGAAGCTGACAAATTTGGGTGTGGCTTTACTGAGGGTCTCACAACAGAGATAAGAATTGACTGTCACTGACACAGACAAACTAGCTGAACTGGGACCTATGTGTGACTGGAAAGAGCTCTTGCTTAGCACATGACAGGGCCCTACACAGTACAAGAAAACAGAAAGATGCAGGAGTAGAACAGTAAATCTCACTGTGTGTATATTTTAGCATAACTCTTTGAAGACAGTCTGAGGCTCAGTTGGTAGAGTCTTGCCTGCATGAAGCTCTAGGTTTCATCCCTATTGACACATAAATTGGATGTAGGAACATGTGCTTCACCCCAGCCCTGGGGATGTGAAGGCAGGAGGACCAGAAATCAAGGCCATTCTCTAGTGCATGGTGAGTCTGACGTTATCCCCGGCTACAAGAGACCCAGACTTAAAAAGCATGTAAGCTGGAAGTAGTGGTGCAGACCTGTAAGCGCAGCATTCTGAAGCTGAGACAGGAGCATCACTGTGAGTTCAAAGCCAGCCAGGAATACTTTATAAGATCTGATCACAAAATAAGAGTACAAAAATTATCAATGCTTTTCAGACAGTGTAACGGCCGTTTCTTTTGTAACGGCCGTCAGGTTCTGCTACTTTGTAAAGGCCGGCCGGTTCTGCTGCTCCAGTCCGCAGGCCAGGGTCTAGCAAGAGAGAGAGTGGGGATGGAGGAAGGGGAAAAAAGGGGCGAGAGACGCAAAAGATAGATACAAGACAGAGTCCGGTGGCGTCTCTTCAAGTCTCTTCTTTATTCTCCTCTCTTCTTCTATATTCTCCTCACTCCTTCAGTCTCCTGACACCTCCCACCTTCTACCTTCTACCTCCTACCTTCTACCTCTACCTCTACCTCCTACTTCCTACTACCTCCTACTTTCTACCTCCTCAATAGAAAGGAAATCCTGGGTATTTATACCCTTTACCACGTGACTTGCCCTCGTGGACAATCTCAACTGAAGCCACTACGTCACGTGCCTTGTAGCCATGGATACCAGGAGCACCTTGCAGCTGGGGGGCACTAAACAGTGTAACAAGATGTTTATCAGAGTGCGCTCAGCTATTGCAGGCTGTTGAAACAAGTCTCTTGTCAGGGTATATGGCTCGAGATGGCTGTAAAGATGATAGCCACTTTCGGCTAAGAGTCGGCTCCCAACAGACAGTAGCTACAGAATTCTAATCCAGTCATGGGATTGGGGCTGTGGGCTGTGTATAAATCGTGTCCATGTGAGGGCTGGCTTTCCAGGCAAACTCCACAGAAGGAACCTGAAGGCAGTGCCCTATGAACCTCATGAAGTCTGTCTGTTCACCTCTTAATTTCTCTCTCTCTCTCTCTCTCTCTCTCTCTCTCTCTCTCTCTCTCTCT